ATTGAGATTCTGTTCTTCTACTCAAAACCTGTGTTCTACTGCTCTCTCACCACTCTTTCTCCTCTTTCTTCTTCACTTTCTCTTCTCTTCGAACCTGAAGTTTCTTAGTGATCAAGACTGATAGCAGTCTTGAACACCTACAGCCTAGGCCCAGGTGCATCTCCTTTAAAAAGGCATGTGCGTGGTGTGCCTTGTGCCTCAGCCCAGGCGTGCACCTTAAAATTTGTGCTTTTAAGCATGGTGGCTGAGCTGGGGGCTCCACCCCTGGACCACCAACTGCCCCTTGAGGCAAATCAAACATGTACATACTAAGGTCTTAAATTCTTCATGCATACATAAAAGATTGGTTTTTAATTTTAACTATAGTTCCTATCTTTTAAAAATGTCTTGTATTAAGACAGGACCTGATCCCATAAATGTCTTTGAACTATGTCAAGTACTATATTGGTAAAACAAGCTCTTGAAGAACTTCAGGTTTCAAATACCTGTATTTCATCAAAGCAAAGAATACTTGCTCCTCTCTGATTCATTTGCCGATCTACAAGAAACTTATCTGCCACAGTAGGAAGGATATTCTTCATCTGTACTTCTTGCATATATCTTTCTTCTGCAGCCAGCCACTGTTTTACTTTATTGTCAAATGGAAGGTTCATAATCCAGCTAGAAATACCAGACTGCAAGGACTTCTCCTCAACTTGGTTTTTCCATATCTTATGCATATGCTCATGTATTTCAAGCATAGCCTGCAAGTGAAGAATATAAAATTTATGAAATATGCAAGAGTCAAAACAAAAAGGGAATAAAGGAAAAGAGCTTTTCTAGAATAATATCTGTGAGAAAATTGGCATGTTTAAGTAGTCTAGTTAAGGAGACTAGGCAACAAAAATGAATAACTAAATATATGCATATATAATAATATTATAATATATGTACATGACAGTACATAGGCAACAGGGAAATTTCATGTAATGATAAACTATTAACCACAATTTAAATTAATAAATGACAAAAAGAAAAATACACTTGATTTTCAGAAATAATGACAAGATTTTTGGATAAACCATACACACAAGGATTAAAAACCTTAATTTTTTAGATTTACATGCACTTCTATCCATCAAGAATGGATTACAAACTCATATCAATATATGAAGGGGACATAACTAGTTATTGGCTTCCATTAAGATGCCTAATATCCATACCGCCTGCCTAGTTAGCCAGATAGGTGATGGACCTTCTAAACGCCCAGGTGATTGCATAGTCAACACTTTTTAATAACACTGGTTTGTCCTCTACCGAAACCATAGATCATTCATTCATTCTCAGTAGAAATAAAGCAAAATCTATTACTAAAATGGAAGTGAGGCTTGACAACACATGAAGTCCAATTGCTTTAACAATAGGTGAACATTTGCCATCTATTGGTTTATTGGCAGAAACAATCTAGATTATTCCATAAGTTACTAATGAATAAGGTTGTATTCCCTCCTCACAGTAGGTTTTCATGAGCAACAGTTAAGTAGAGGCATGATAAATGAAAACAAAGTATTTAATCAGGTATATCCCTTTGTTGTGGGAGAGCTCCTTCTCATCTTGATGTTGCTAGCTTCTTTATTTTCCTTCTCTTTTAGGAAATAGAGTTTATTTTATTTGCAACAAAAAATAGAGCAACTGATGTTTGCCCCTTATTTAATTTTTATGAAACCGAAAATGTGAACAAACAAATTTTATACTCTAAAGACTTCCCTACTATCTCCCTTTTTCATTCATGAGGATAACAGGTTATGCTTGATTGTAGGATCTTCTGCATGCATATATATGTTCACATTGTTACATGTGTATATATGGTATATTCACATATAAACACAAAACATATGTTCACATTGTTACATGCACAAATTGGTAAAGTTCTTCCAAGCTGGGAAAGGGAAATATATATGCTATGGCTCGAGATATAAATAAAACAGGAACTTAAAACAATAGCTGTGTCATATATGTGTAAGGCTACATATAGAACATTACTGTTGATATTTGTTGAAATATGAGAAATAAGTTCATCATTTGTCATATTTGCAGTAATTGAATGAGTATGTTTACTTTTTATATTTCCTCTTATAAGGTGATCTTTGGCAGGTTCTATCTTTTGTTTCCATCTCTTAATAAAGAGGTTTTCATAGGTCTTTTGTTGCTGTTATAGGGAGTACACAGACAGGGGTATATCAGTCCTTTTGTTTGTATTGTGAAATATAAATAATAGAAAAGAGGCTAATGCTCTATGCTCTTTCCTCTCTTCCTCAACCTGCATTCTCTTCTATCTCTTCTTCCTGTTCTCCCTTCTCTCTTAAATCAACACACTTAAAACACTAAATTCACAAGGACAACAAACAAATTTATTTATTTACTCTGTGCAACTATGATTTTATGAAATCAATAGAAAAATCCCAAGGCACTATGTAGATATGTATTTTAACTTTTATAATTGATGAAGAAGAACTAAATAAATGAGGAATAACCTCCCAAAACATGACAAAATGCACATAATTGCTAAACTATAATAATTCAGACTTCTACTTCCAAGAAAACCATGCATTTCCAGTCTACAAGAAAACTATGTTATGACTGCAGAATACTGTCAATATCTAACAATATAAACAAGCCTTTACCTCGTGAAAGTGAAACCTCCGTCGATGTTTAACAATACCTTCGGTGGCACTGTAGAACATGTCCATAAGCATTGTTTTTCCTGCATTGTACACAAGAATTTTGTTTTCCTTTGTGAAAAGCTGTTATACACGAGTTAAAGATCATATGGTTGCAATCCAGAAAGGGGTCCTCATATGAGGGAACACTTCTATCCAGTGGATTGGTTGTATATGGAACTTAAACAGAATTTTGTATGGGTGCCAAACAGTCTGACACCAGGAAAGTGCCAACCCATGTCAAAATCCCTCATTGAATCAAATTCCACAGAATATTATAATAGAAAATAAACATGGCATGGCATGGAAACAGAACATAATCTAAAAGAAGCTTCAGCCTATATGATAGAGTGGATATGAAGCTATCTTATTTGGATATACAACTAAAATGCAAGAAACTGAAGGAAAATCTAATTTGTTTTTTAATTTAAAAAAGGTAAGGAAAGTCTAATTCTAAGTTTCTAATTTTGGTACAAATGGATGATGAACAATTATATACAAGCATTTTCTTCACAAGCATATCATCAATGTATCAACAACATACCACTTCCAACATTTCCATATAAATACAGTCCTTTTGGGGCCGGAGGGGCAACTGGTCGGCGGCCAACTAGTGAATCCAACTTCTTTTCCCGATTAAGGTAAGACACCCATTTTCCAACCCCTGGTTCTATGTTCTCATTTTTTTTCCTGATTGAAAATAGATATTTCATAAATGAAAAAAAAAAGAAAAACCAGTGAGTGTCGAGAAAATAAAATGTCATTGCTGGATTTATAAGTTATATGAGCAGATTTGCATCTATCAATTCTCAAATAAAATCTGCATCTATGAATCTTCAAATTTTAATTACTCCAGTGACTGCACAATGATAATTAATTAGAATAAAAAAACAACCCAACCATCTAAGAAACATTGCATCCAAACTTCAATAACTCATGGTAGATACATTTACCAATGAAGTGTCAGTACCCCAATCTGTATACCTATCACTGCTGTCACTAATCATAGTCAGGGTGTTGCTTAGGGCTGTCAATGGGTCGGGTTGGACCTGATGGAACCGAACTGATTGGGTCGGTTCTGGTTCTAGGAACTGGAACTGATGAGTTGGTTCCGGTTCCTAATAAATTGTCCCAATTCTTATCGGTTCAGAACCAGTTCTACCCAGTCCCAAACTGATTCAGACCCGACCCAACCTATATATATATATATATAATATGTTGAATTATATATATAATTTAATATATTAATAAATTAATATTATATATAATATTTTTAGTAGGTTTATCATAATCGGGTCCATCGGGTCAGACCCCATTGTCCCGAGAACCGATCGGTTTGGTGCTGGGTCTAAAATTACAGACCCTATCAGGTCCAGTTCGGTTCCGGGTCCTTCTCATTTCTTGTCGGGTCGGTTCCGGTTTTACTTGGACCCGACCCATTGACAGCCCTAGTGTTTCTAATCGAGTTAAGCTTTCAAACTCAACAAGTAGACATGACTTTGAAAAGCTTTAAAACACTGTTAAGGAGAAAAGTAATGACAGTGACACCACATCTTATGGTTAAGAACCAGACTTTGGTAGCCTCAGAGCCAAGAAGGCTTCCATTACATGGAACTTGAAAGGGAATACAAAAGAATGCACTACAACCATTCAAGAATGTTCATATCTGAACATCATCCTATATAAGGTGATTTATTTTTATGAGTTCCTCTATAAGGTGATTCTTTGAATGTGAAATGGGATTCTTTGCAACTGGTTACATTGTAGCAATGCATTGAATGGTAACAATGGAAATAAGTTGCTCCACCAACCCACTGCATTGTGGAACCTTTAATAAATAAATGATTATTGAACAAAAATGAATTCTAAAATAGTCATGTGTTTGATGATAAAATATAGGTGAAGGACAGCAGGAAAAAACTATTAAATCAACTCATCCAAACATTCACTGACTTGATAGCAGAAAATTTATTAATTGCACAAGGTTCTTGAAGGTTCTAAGCATGAAAATGAATCAAACAGGTTGGCCTATTTCAATGGGAAAATTCATTCAGCACCAATAGCTAGCCAAACATATCTGCCTTCTTTCCTTTTTGGCTTACATAACACTACTTCCATACACCAATAAGCAACCAAAAGACTCTTTGAAACTTGTAATAAATGTGTTACCTGTTGTCATTTATAAACTATAATTGATGTCAAAATAACGATTCCTACAAAATGAGAGTTATTTCTTTGCATATATATTTACTGCCAAAATAACAGGAGAACTGTCACGTGGTCTTCTTAGTTGGTTATGCGGTGTTTTTTAAAGCTTAATTGGTTTAATTAATTGATGTAAATGATAAAATCCAATGTATAATGTCCAAGAATCCTTTTGGTGCAAAGTTGTCATTGTTCCTCATATATGTTTCATTTGAACAGTCATATGCACCAATATCTACTATACTGAATAAGTTGAAAAGAAGATGATACTCCAAAAAACATGCATAAAGGAATGTATGAGAGTCTTTTGAGGAGTATAAAGCCTCTCACCGTGAAATCCATTTCTCAACAAGCTTATTTCGGTGTTTATTTACTGTAGTCCAAACACCACCCTTTTGTTTGAGCTCAGCTTCCTCCATCAAAAGCTTGCGCCGCTCATCCTCCCGGTTCTTCTCCCAATTGGCCAGGTTAATCTGCAAAAGGTATAAAATCAACCTTTGAGTTTGACCAAGAAAATCAAATTAGCCACTTGATTCACCGCAGAGATCCAGGCATACATGGAATTGCTCCATATCTTTCTCATACTGCTCCAACCTCCCAAGTAAGTTTTCCAATTCAGTAGCCACACTTTCCTGGTAAGGATCATATTGGAGCTTTCCTTCCTCAACTAAACTCCTATAGACTTTAAGTGGTCCTGCAAAGAAATAATTGGATAAGAAATATATATACATAGATAAAGGACTATGACTTAAGTCAAATCACTCAATTCATTGGCATTCCTCCAAGAAACCTGGCCTTATCCACTAAGAAGACTAGGGGGAACAAGAGAATGGTTCTGATAACCAAAAATACTCATATATTAAAGAAAAATACCAGCCAAAAGTATTCATATACTGAAGACAAACATCAGGAGCTCAATATCAAAATAAACAGAATAAACAAAAAGTCCATGGCTAAACTTAGCAAATCTTGATTTGAGGTTGGCTACATGAATCTTGATTTACCATTCTACTCTATTAAGAGTCTCAAAATTGCTAATTAATGCAATGAAAGTGCGCTTAAGAGAGTCTTATTTTTCATTACCATCCTTTAATTGGTAGTCATACACATGCCCTTTGCAAGGTTCCAACTCCATCTGTGCTTGTTTAGTTATTCCTTGCTTTGTATGAAACACCAATATCATGACTGTGGAACGGGTTTGACTTTTGCAAATAAATTCCTGTCAACATTAAGGATCTTCACCTCTCACCTTCCAGTAAGTCAACATAAGGAATGTCGTTTCTCTTTTTTCTTTTAAATGCCGATACTAGGTACTGCATCTTTGAATTGGTATAAACATGAGATAGGGAAGACGTTTCATTATCCTACCATTATCTAGGAAACTCAGGAATCCCTTTTTTATCAGTGACAAATTACTTAGAATCTTCTTGGGACATAATCAACCCTCTTAAGATGCAATCAATATTCTTTATCTTGGAACTGAACCTAACCAACTGACACAAGTATTATATTTCTAGTTGAGTCAAGTTGAGCTTCAGCACCGAAGTACCTAACGGGACTTGTATTATATGCATAATGGTGAACTGTTGTATCACTTTTACAAGCTTAAACATCTTCAATCCCACATAACAATGAAATTCTATGAACCTAGAAAACTAATTGCTAGGAAAATGCAAAAAAAAAAAAACAAAAACAAAAAAACAAGAAAAAACAAAATGCTCACATTTAAATTCAACTACCCAAGCACTTGGGGTCCACTGCCGAACCAGTCATGCAGAGAAGCGGCCATAAAGTCTCATTATTTAAAGATTACGAACCAAGAAATTCTGGTTCTATGCCGGAAACTAATTAAGATAATGTAACAGGACAAACAGAACTATAGAAGACGTACCAGTTTGACAAGCTACTTCAGAATACAGATGAACCGAAATTCACAAGGAGAACAATGGAAAACGAAATTGAATGAGACAGGAAATTAAAAGAAGTCGACAGAAGATGGAATTTGAATTCGAGAGATGAATAAAACGAAATTCAACCTGGACGCCTTGGAGAAGGCTGCTGAGATCGATCACAGTAACAGCGGATCACATTTATCTGAGACTTGGAGGATCTATCCAATAGGTTTTTCCTAGCGAAAGCTCGACATAGAAGTGGCGAAACCGAAGCAAGCCTTCTCATCGTCATCTTGCTCCCGTCCGATGAGAACTAAGGAACACTCGGAGTCGATGACTCAACTCCGGAGTAGCGCCAATTCCAAAAAAGTGTATCAAACGCCGCAGGCAACGTGGCGTCACGGAGGCCATCCACTTGTCATGTCTCGGTCCCTCGAGTAGGTTGAACCGTTGAAGTCGAAGAGACTGTCCTGTGGTCTAGGGTCATAGTGGTCGACAGTAGGGTGTTCATTATACGGTTCAACCCGCCAAATCGATCGAATCAAATCATAATTTGCTGTTGGGTTAAACGGTTGATTCGATTTTCTGAATTTTAGTCTCAGTTTGGAAGGAGTACAAATGCAAATACGTGGAGTGTAAAACCTTATATACTGTATTATTTTATATGTATTTGCAGTGTATACTCTTTCCAAATTGAGCCTTAGAAACCAAATTGGCATACTAATTATATGGTGACTAATTGAGTAGTCACTTGTTGGTATGTTAGTTGGCTCGTTTCAATATTGGCACATAATTAATTTCTGCAACCATCAATGTAGCCTGTTGGCTACTAATTAGGAGTGTATGGCACCAAATACAAAAAAAAGATTTTATGGTGACTAAAAAACAATATTACTAATTATTATTTATATAAACATATATGTTATTTGGGCTTTATAATTGGATTAAACCCAATAAAATGGTGCAAATCATAGGTCCCGTTTGATGCGTTTTTTTGCGTAGGCTGTTGGCTTTTTAGAAATTTGGCAGTCCGTGTGTCTCTTTTCCCGTTTGGTTGAAAAAATATTTAGCCACTGAAAACCATAACCTTAAAAAAAACGTAGGAAGCCAATTTCGGGCTATTTTTGGAAAGCTCCAAATGGGGTTTTTTGTCTTTTTTTTTTCAATTCACCTTCGAGCGAAAAGACGTGTAAACAAACACGTCTTAACCAAACAGCTTTCAAGCTGCTAAGATCTTGATGCAAAAACTTACATTGTCTATCAAAACTTTCAGAAGATCTTTCAAAAAATCTATCAAATGGCCCCATATTAAAAACCCCACCATACCATAATAAAACAGTTTGATTTGGTTAAAAAAAATCTCAAACCATATTCTACCAATTTGAGTTGAGATGTACTCTTAACCGCACCAAACTGAACATGAACACCCCTCCTATTCAACAAAAGTCTTATAATCTCATCGATCAGGTCTGAAATCTCTATGTAGATAATGCTCTACTTTATCAAATCTCAATGGAGTCCTCCATCGTCTAGGTAGCAATATTGGGGGTTAGGGAATTCGGGTTGAGCTTCGTTCCAGAAACACCGAATCCGCCGCGGGATGCTTCCATGTCATGTGCGAATTGTGATTCCAGGTTGACCCGCCCCATCACTCAGAAGACGACCTATACCAGACATGATTAGTTTTCGAACCAACTTATGTCCATACCGGACCATTACGACCCATGGATGATGGATCTGAATGTATAAGGTTTCCATCTGTATAATGGTTAACGTGATAACTTAGCCATCTATGCGGGTTAATCTGACTGAGCCACCATCCAAATAGCTCTAATACATAGAAACCTACAAAATTTTAGACCATGATTTGTCTAGAACTCAAATTATTAAGTTGCTTTCTCTCTCTTGAGAAATTCTGAAAGTTAGAGAATGGGTACAAAAGTCCTACTGCAAGAGAGCTTGTAAAAGTTGCAACAAAGTTAGAGATGGCCCATTCCTCCTCCCACAATACATAATCTATTCTGATGACACAAATGAGCTTTGAAAATTAGCACTTATTGTGAATGTCGCACTACTTAATGCAATCTTGTTATCTCAAAGAGAAGAAACAGTTCCAGGACCTTTAAATGCTTCTCAGCATGATATAAAGAGCTTCTGAAGTACATAATGACACTTTGTACTCTTAGCTTTCTTTCTAATAATCCTATTTGAATGCTCAACCCCATCCATCAATTCTTCTTGACCAACCCTGCCTCAGACTATCAAACCAGAGTGCAGCTGCATTTCCCTCCAGGCTCCAACAAAGACAGTGCCAGACCAAAACACCTTAAATTACAAGGAGACCTAAAGCAAACTGACAATTTTTATCCATCCACCATTCATCTTCCCTATTTTCTGTAGATCAAGTTCTCACAGTTCATGAATTCCAAATTTCCAAATAGAAATGATTCTTTACAGTTTTAGTAACATATCCATTGATGGGACTGGGAAGGCCTCTTAATGTTGCAGTTGTCACAGGATTTCCAGTAACAGTATTTAACCACCCGTGCAACACCTTCATTTCAAATACCCACCTGACTCCATTCATGTTTCAGTATTTTATGTACCTACATGAGTGAAAAAAAAAAGTGTCATCAACAATGCAAGATAAAGATCTCACGAAGGATCAACAAAGTTTAAAAACTGAAAACAGGTACAAGAATTACTTTTATAAAACTAGCTAAAAGGCATGTGCTTCACACGTGAAGGCAAGGTATGTAAATTATTGATTGAGGTTTTATCGGAGTACTTGAACTTTCTTAAGTATTGAATTGTAAATCTGGAACACAGGGACAACAATTCCTCCACAAGGTGCAGAAGTGAGCAATGTTTACAAAGTTAATGGTTTGTGATATATACATTCTTTTTAATGGATTGAAACAGATCTGTTAGCCATGACAGTATCGTCTGCAAGTAAATCACAAAGAATATCAAGTAAATCCTGCATTAAATTAAACAAGATCCGCATCATGAGAGCAAACAGAAGCACCTTGATGCCCATGGGATTTAACATTCTTCTCAGAGCCAAATGTTGGAAGGTCAGCAGAATTCAGAGTGAAACCTGTTATCCTTTTTTTTTTTTATAAGCAAAAACCCACTATCCTTGCATGATGAAATTCCCTGCATGTGTAAGAATTAATAACCAGAGAGGTCAAGCAATCAGGAAATACAATAAAGAACTAGTCAATAAGAAAAAAAGAATGAGAGAACAAAGTATATACACCTAGTCTAAAACATTCCATGAGCACATGACAGAAATTCTTCCTAAGGAAATTGTTTTTTTTTTCTTAAATTAATAATCAGTTAGCTCCATTTCTTCAACACATCTAAGGGTCTGTTTGTTTTTTTTTTATCAATAACTGTGAATTGAATTAAGATTATGAAAAACTACAAAGCAAGGGAGCTAAACAATCTTAACTCCCGAGTACAACCAGTGAACACCAAAAGTAAAGCAATTACAACACAGCCAAAAAATAGAGTTTCTGTTCACCCCTTACCTAGCTAGACCATCTGCCAATGAGTTTGCACTTCTCTTTACCCATGTGCATTGAATTTCAATGTCCTTAGTCAGCCACTTAAATTTTCTCTTTTCATTGCTGTAATTCCAGAGCCTAGAGTTATCCTCTTTTAGCCAGTTCACCACAACTTCAGAATCTCCTTCTATGATCAACTTATTAATATGCATGTCCTTGACCCTTTGTACCCCTTCAAGAGCTGCTAGTATCTCAGCCCTCAAGGAATCTCCCACCCCTATTGGTCCATAAAACATAGCTAACAGATTCCCTTGTTCATTTCTTATTGCTCCCCCTATTCCGGATGGCCCTGGATTACCCATACTGCTGCCATCAAAATTCAGTTTAGTAAAACTGTGAGGTGGAGGAATCCAGCAAGAGCTTGAGGCCTTCTTAGCTGAAGCTAATTCTGCAATCTCCTTCCAGTTTCTTAGCAACTCATCAACTGAGAATTCTACAAACAGGGCCAAAGTTTTCAACCAATGTATCACCCTAATATGGATGACCTCCAAAATTACTTCCAAGCTTCTCTCCTTTTCTGAAAAGATCCATGAATTTCTCTCCTCCCAAACAGTCCAACAAACTGTAGCCCTAATACATCTCCACATAATCTTGGCTCTTTTTATTGGCCAATTCAGCATGGAAGTGAAAAAGCTTTTCGTTTGATCCGTGATCGGAATGGGAATGGGAATCCCTTGGAATCAGAATCGGAATGGTCTATTCCCCCTACCTGCTTGGTTCAGACAGGAATCGGAAGCGGATTCCGATTGATGCTGTTTGGTTCATTAAGGGACTGGAATCGGAATCAACCATGATTTCCAATTTTGCCCCTAAAAAAACATATAAATAAATAAATAATCTATAAAAATTCCAAGTTCAATACAATCCAATTAACATGTAAAGAGATAGATAGGGCTATCAATTAAACCAGGTTTGGTCCAATCCAATGCAACTTGTGTCTATTTATAAATGGACGGGATCCAACCCAATCCAAATCTAAGTACAAACCAATCCATTCAAATTTAAATGGATCAGATTGGATCCAACTATCCAATCCAAACACTCCCGAACGACAAGTACGAAACCATTGAGTCGTGCAGAAACATCAGAAACAAACGAGAACAAGCAAGTGATCAAAGAAATGCAGGACGAATCAAACCAGAAATGGGCGGCGGAGCAGGAAGACCCTTGCGGAACACAGACGAGAAGAATAACTGCGCACTTTTTGTGATAATCCTCGAAGTTGGATCAACAAGCTTCGACAACCACCCTCTTCTCCCCGCGGTCTATGGGGTTCCGGACAGCGCTCACTGGCCTATCATAAGGCATCGATGCAACTCTCCAAAACGACTTCTTCTGGAATTTCCCACCTGCTCCTTCGTACCCTCCTGCCGCTGTTGCCATGAAAGCTCAATTCCAAGCTCGACTAGAGACACAGAAACAGAAGCAACGCCCACCTATAATAGGGTTTTTACTTTTTCATTTCCCAGAAGAAGAGGAGAGAGAGAGATCCATGGTCACTTACCTGGCCGGAGTAGTCCAGGTTGGATCTTCATTGTTCAGCTGCCGAACTGTTGAAGAGTTTGAAGGAGGGAGTGACGAGAGATGAGAAAGAGGGTTGGAAACTTGGCATCAGGGGTTTGAGGGTTTTTTTTTTGTCATTTTCATTTTTCTTGTTTTAATCGGCTGGAATGGGAATCCGATTCCGAGGGGGTGGGCCGGGAATGGTCATTCCGCCCGGAGTGGGAATCCGATTCCAATTACACTCAACCAAACGGCTGGAA